TCTCTTTGCCCTTTACGTTCAGCTTTCCTCGAGTCATTTTATTTTAAATTGTCTGCTCTATCTGTTTGGGTATTCTTTGCTGCCAATCTAATAGATTAATATATTCCATTTCCCCTGAGATATGACAGCTGTATTGAGATATAGTTATTATCTCATATTGCTTTCTTCTCAGTATTGTCATTGTTTTCTATGATTTATCAAAAAAAATATTGAGGGCACAAGCTAAGACAGCATAAAATGTTTTTAATTTTTTTTTTCTCTAAGAGCAATAGTTGTGAAAACCAGTTTTGAACCTAACTTCAGTTTTCTCTTGTGAACTGAAGAGATGCTTCCCTGTGGCACCTCTTTCACGTCCAGTCTCCACAGTGATGAATTCCCAGCTCCAGATTTTTGGTTTAGGGTTTTGGATAATGCTCTGTCAAGTATCACCCATAAGCAGTTCTTTCCCTTTTGAGGCCCCCTAGCAAAATCCTGCCTATGGGAGAAGACGTGTTCTTTCTCTCAGTCGTTTGCCATGCGTTAAAGACACTGCGTACAGTCTAGGGGGCAAAGAGCTCAGGGGACGTGTGCTCACTGTGTCGGAATTATCTCATTCTAGATTTCTTTAAAAGAAAAATTCCTTATTTAAGTGGACCCTCCCTCTCATTCCTTTGAGTTTCAGACCTGTAAAGTCAAGGTCCATTGAATTAATTGGTAAGTCTTTGAAACCCTCTTGTAAATGTACCACTTATAAAGTCACCGTTACCAGGTACTATGCTTCTACTTTCTCTTACTATCCCTTCCCAGGCAGCATTATAAACATACAGCCATACATTAGCTCGGCTTTTAAGACTAGACTATCTCACATTCCTTTCCTAAAATTAAGCGTCTGTGCTGTCGTCTTTGTGTAAACGCGCATAAATAGCCATGTCCATAAATGAAATTTGATGATAATAAATACCAAATAGTGTTTATTGTAAACATGCCATTTTTATGGAAATTTTACTTTAACTTGTGTAGTTTCAACTAAAGAAATAAATTATACATTGTAACAAATATATCAAGATTATGATTTACTTGATTCAGCAACAGGAAAGTGGAATTTCCGTGTATCTTCAAACTTGACTTTTAGCCCAGATTTAGACAAAAACACACCATATTTTTTAGTTAATTTCTTCTGCAGATGAATTAGTCATAATTTCCTTTTTGGTCCCTTTTAGTCTGCAAACACACCATCAGTGATTAACTATTTATTTTCTGCTTGTTGAAAGCCTGTACTAAGTTTTGTTTTCATTGTTCACTCCCCTTAACACAAAGACCTTTAAAGGTGGTTAAATCTTGAGCAAGTGTAGCTTACAGTAATATGTTTTAATTTAACATTGTATTAGCATGTGCATGGAAAAATGCAATGACCTGTCTTTGCAATTTTCTTAATATGAACTTAAATATGATGTAATTTTTAAATACAGCTTTTGAGTTCTTAAAATATAATTTATTTGAAGACTGACTCCCATGCAAAGTTTTTAATTATTACCATTGTTGCTTTCTATGACAGTATGGGAGATAAATTTTGACTTATCCTTAAAACTTTTATATTGTTATATTTTCAAAATATATTATGTATTATCTTTGACTACTGTTCTTGTAGACTTTTGTTGGTACAATGGTTAGTAACTAGTACAAATGGAATTTCATGAAATCTGAATTTATAAAATACATAAATCTACTGTATTAGATTGCTTTCTATTGCAGTGGCAAAGATCATAGTCAAAAGCAAACTTGGAGAATGCAGGTTTATTTAGTTTATATGTCCCAATCACAGTCCCTCATGAAAAGAAGCCAGAGCAGGAACTCAAGGCAGGATCCTGAAGGCAGGAAATGAAGCAGAGAGAGGCCATGAGAGGTGACTGCTTATAAGCTTGTTCCCCATGGCTTACCCAGCTTTATTTCTTTTTTTAATAATAATTTTTATCATTTTATCTCTTAATATGATTTCAATTGAAATAAAACAATATCACCTTCCCCTTTCCACTTCTCCTCTAGTCCCTCTCTACTTCTGTCCCTCAAACCCTCCCATGAGCCCAATCCCAAGATGTTAGTCTCTGTTTCTTTAATTATTATCATTACATACACTCATACATGTATGCGTATATGCATAAATATTTGTAATTACAATCTACTAAATCTGTTTTATTGGTGATATGAATGTGATTTTCAGGCTGACCATTCTGCACTTGACAACCAATAAGGGAACTCATCCCTGGGACAGACTAATTCCTCTCCCAGCATTCACGAGTTGCCTATTGTTCTTTGTATAGGAGTGGGACATCACAAACTTTTCCCCTTCTCTATTAAAATGCCCAGTGATGCTGCTATTTGTTCAGTCTTGTTGATGCATCCATTTTCAGGAGAGACTTTCTCAGCAGACCTCTTAGTATTCTGGCTCTTAAAATCTTTCTGTCTCCTCTTCTCTGGACGATAGATGCAAGAGATGTGATGTAGATGTATCCATTGGAGCTGTGATCCACACAATCAGTTGTTTTCTGCATTGGGTCCAATTGTAGTTTCCTGTGATGGTCTTCATTTGCTGTAAAGAGAGGCCTGGTACTAAAAACCTAGTCAACTTCCTGAGGCTCATGAGTCCATGGACCATAGAAAAGAACCTACCACTGCCACTTTGCTAGACAAGTATAATTCCTCATTGTATCCTAAATCTTATCCTTATACCCACAGATACGGGTAGCTACCACCCCACAGTAAAAAGCATCACTTTTCAGCATGCATTCTCATACAGCCCAGGACCAACTTGTCCAGGGATGACACTGACTTCAGTGGTCTAGCCTCACCCATGTAAGTTATTAATCAAGAGAATATCCTTCAGACAATGCTGATGGAGACCTTTTCTCAGTTGAGGTTTCTTTTCCCAGATGACCCTAGCTTTCATCAAGTTACAAAAAAAAAAAAACCCTAGGATAGACACCTTCTTCATAACTCACTGCTACATCTAATCATTCTTTGCCTCAGTTTATTGTAATTGAAGACAAGAATAGTTCCTATTTCCCGAACTGCTGTAAAGACGAATAGAGTATATTTAGCATAGAATTCTAGTAAATTCTTAGAAGAAGCCTGACTTTCAGAAGCACTACAATAATATGAGTAGTAGAATTGAAGACATTGGAGCTGATCAGACCTGGGTACTGATCCAAGTTCTTTGTACTGTTGGTTTGGAACTGACAAGTAATTTCTTTGTTGTGTCCTCTTAGCATCTCTCTAGCTAGCTTTCCCATCTGGTAAATGAGGGTAATAATACATGATGATTCCTTTGTGTGTAGTAGATAGAGCACATAAGAGGAAAGCTCAGTACAATGTCACCATGTGGTAAGAACACAACCAATGGTTCCCAAACATTCCAAGTATTTTTCAGAAAATCTTTTCAATATTTTTGACAGGAATGAAAAAAGGAAGCATTAGCACTAAGGTGAAAAGAGTAAAGATCTAACAAAAAGCCTAGACTCTTTTGGTCAATAGTACTTAATTATGTTATACAGGAACTTCATGTCCTTAAGTGCCAGTTTAAGGACAGAAATAAAATTCATTTTGACTTGATTTCATGCAACTCTGGTCAGTATTTTCTCATTCTAAGTACCCTTCAATTCCAAATGTCTTCACTTGCTCCCATGCTAATACCATTCTGATCCTCTTACCCGAGGCTGGGTTCTTGCAGGGCCGGCAGATTTCTGAGTGGAAAAGCCCTCCTTCCAAAAGCAGGGTTTGCAATCATCCTGTCAAAATCCACTGTGCACTGTGCACTAATTCATTCCAAATCTCTCCAGAGTTAAGTTCTACAGAGTTACAGTTTTGATGAGCAGAATAAAAAGTATTTTAAAAACTCCATTTGATTTTCTGGAGAGGGGGACGTTCCAAAAGTAACAATCTATGGAGGGTGTTTGGTGTAATTTTCTTTAAATTGAAAATTAAGTGAAATATGATCTTTTAAATATTTTTACTTTGAGGCAAAGCAATAATTGAATGTGCTTTGAGAATTCTTTTAATTTTTGTTGATAACTTTTAGATATGGAAGCCACAGCTTGAAAACAGTTCCTGTTTCATGGTGGCTAAAAATAAACTCTTGGTGGGTGGAAGCCCAAATTTATGTCTAGAGGACATTACAGATAGGAACACGGCTCACAGAAAGCATATTAAACAAAATCACTTTGAAGCAAGCTGGGGGATGATGTGCATTGAGGTTTCCACTAAGTGTGCTCCCTCTGGGAACCTGGATCCTTGTCTCTCAGTGGTACCCCACTCCCCTTCTAGTGCACGTTTACAGCACAGTCTATTCTGGGGTGCAGATAGGGCTTCCTTCTTTAGTCTGGCTGCTGGTTTGATGCAGACTCTGCCTCTGATCTGAGTCACTGTTTTCATTGTCGCAGTGTTCTGCACAGCGAACGCTCCTGACTTCCTGTTCCTGCTCTGCCTGTCCCTTTCCTATCCCCACAATAACTGCAATGCACTGTTGTCTAATGGTAAATGAAAACTTAATAATTAATTTCCAGCTTAATAGCATTGCACTTGTCAGGATCATCTTTTTCGCACTCAGTGTTTTACAGAATTTCCTTTTCTTGGATAAAATATGCTTGGAAGTAGCAGAAAGATGATTAACTTCCTTGAACTTCATATTCTCTGGTTCATCACACTGATGGAACTTTTCTTCCAAGTTACCCTTCTGCACTGTTTTTTGTTTTTTTCCTCCAAAACTATTTATTGGGACTGGAGATTGTAGCTCTCTCCCCTAGGAAGTAAGGCTTACATGGAAATCTTGTTTCATTCTGATAAGAGTGGGGTTTCAGTGCTGTCATTGATTCAAGGATGAGTTTTCCTTGATAAGAAGCAGCCTTTCCTAACAGCTGGATGATTAATGATGCCTCACTCTAGAAGCCAAGGTACTTACATGAAAGTGTGGTAAAATGATACTGCTCTAACTGGCTTCATCACAGGGTATCATGATTAATGGCACAGAATTCCTTAAACAGAGGTATTTATTTATACAAAGAAGGTAGTCACACTTACTATCTTTACAACAAAAACATCACTCCCCCCTTAATTTTCTTAAAAACCAAACAGTGAAAAGCAGATTATGTAAGTGAACTGTGTTGATTTAGGATTTGTAATATCCTTAAGAAGCTACTAAATTTTAAATTATTGTAATTTAGTTACGGCAATTAATGGCTTTAAGTTGTTCTAAATGTATATTTGAGAACAGAAGTACAATAGCTAGCATAAATTGATTTTTTTAGTTAACTTTGTTTCCTATAGTTTTGATTAAAATCTTTGAATGCACAGCAGTATAACAACAATAATCTCTTCAAGAAATAGTTTTCTGAATAAAGTTGGAATTATCAGGAGATATTATTAAAGCATACATCAGTGACTCATGGGAATTCACAGAAGAGAACATATCCCACTATGAATTTCTGAAACAGCTCATTGGGCAAGCAATGTGAGTTTATTTCCGGCAATTTCTGGTACAGTACTCTGGAAGCTCAAAGAATTACAACTTAGACATGTAGGGCAAAGAAATGGAATCATTTCCCCTTTTTCTTCCACTAGTAAGGTCTTCAGTCCATCCCCTTCCAGTCTTCATCCTATTTGCCCCACAGAGTTAAGAAAGGATAAAGAAAGAAAAGACTATGAAAAACACAGAAGATAAGGAATTCTAGAAACTAAACAAAAGGCTTACCAACAGCTGTTAGAATCTGCTTCAAAGTTGGAACATGAACTCCGTGCTCAAGATTTCCCTCGAAATTTAACTTTCTGTCTCCAAATTAAGCAAGGCATGGTGTGTTTTTTTTTCAGTTGTTAAAATTATTTTATTATTTTGTGTGTATGGGTGTTTTGCCTGCATGTATGTCAGTGCCCGGCATTCATGCAGTGTCCTTGGAGGCCAGAAGTGTGTATCAGATCCTTGGGACTGGAGTTATGGGGAGTTGTAAGCTGCTATATGGGAGCTGGGGATCGAACCCAGCTCTGTAAGGTGCTCTTACCTTTGAGCCATTGCTCCAGCACTGGGTCAATGTTTTTAAACCAAAGACTAGGTAGGATGAAAGCTGATTGAAATCATGTGTAAGAAAATAGAGGAATACACAATGCTTCATGAGATGGCATCTCCCATGAAAGAATTTAAAACAGCTCTTCCATGCTTATGGATTAGAAGAACTGATATTGCAAAAATGACTATCCTACCAAAAGCAATCTTTAGTTGCCATAAAAATACCACCACCTTTATTCATAAGCATAGAAAAAAATCCAAAAATTTATATGGAGGCACCAAAGACCATGGATAGCCCAAGAAATCCTGAGCTAAAAGAATACTTTGTAAAGTGTCACCATACCTGATTTCACGTTACTCCATAGAGCTATAGTAATAAACACAACATAGCATTGGCACAAACATAGGCACGTAGATCGATGGGGTAGAATAGAGGATCCAGATATAAGTTCACGCAACTTGCCCTACATGATCTTTGACAAAGATGTAAATATATATACATAAAAAAGACAATATGGTGATGGGAAACAAAGATTTCAACATGCATGAAAATGAAGCTAGGTCCTGACCTCTAACTTTGCACAAGACTAAATTAAACATGAATTAAGGACCTCCACATAGAACATGAGACTCTAAAAGTGCTAGAGGAAGAAGTGGAGAGTGCACTTCAATTTAAAGGCACAGGTAAACTTTAACTTACAGGCACATGTAAGAATTATTTTAACTAGGGCTCCAGGAGCTCAGGAAATGAGACCAACAGTTTGGCAAGTGGAAAGATGGGAACTTAGGGAACTAAAAACCCTTTGCACAGTAAAGGAATGCCGATAATGGGGAGGCAGACAACAGCAGGGGGCAAAATCTTTACCAACTATTCATATAACAGAGGATTGATGTCTAGAGTTCACAAGCAGCAGCAGCAGCAAACAATCTACCAGCCGGTCAACAACACAACAAATGCTCAGCATCCATTACTACCTGGAAAATACAGATTAAAGCGACTTTAAGTTGCCATCTCAACTCAGAGACAATGAGAATGTGGGCAAAGGATATCCTTATACTAATGATGGGAGTGTAGACTAATGCAGCTGCTTAAAAATCTGCCTAGAGGCGTCTGAAAAAAACTAGAACTAGAATTATCACGTGACCCAGCTGTACCTCCTCTGACTTTACATTTACACATCTAGGTTCATTGCCACTCTACTTACAATAGCTAAGAAATGGACTCAATCTGGGTGTCCATCAAATGATGAATGGATAATGAAAATGTGACACATATACACAATGGATTATCATTCATCTGTAAATAAAAATGAAGTCATGAAATTTGCAATTAAATGCGTGGATCTAGAAAAGAATCATGTTAGTGAGATCACTCAAGGCCCAAAAGACAAATACCACATTTTCTCTCTCATACGTGGGTGCTAGCTTCAAATCTCACGTTTTGTTGTTTAGCCTAGAGTACATGAAGAAGTCAGTAAAGCAGTAACTGGCCAGTGGGTATAATATATATATTATATATTAATATAACATATTTTACATTATATACACATATTATATACATATATCTATGTATTATATGTATTAGATTATATGTTGTGGAATATTTGTTTATGCAAAGATGCATTGCGTTTGTTTAATTGTGTAAAGCTGTGTTGCTGCTTTACCTTGCCTGCCTAGGGCACCTGACTGGTCAAATAAAAAACTGAACAGCCAATAGCGAAGGAGGACGTATAGGTGGAACTTCCCAGCAGGGAGAGTAAGTAGGAGTAAGTTAGGCTCCAGGGAAGAAAGGAAAAGAGATGCCATGGTCTAGCCAGCCAGACCCAGAGGAAGCAGGAAAGTAGGACACACAGAATGAAAGAAAGGTAAAAAGCCCAGAAGTAAAACATAGATGAATAGCCGGGCAGTGGTGGCGCACGCCTTTAATCCCAGCACTCGGGAGGCAGAGCCAGGCGGATCTCTGTGAGTTCGAGGCCAGCCTGGGCTACCAAGTGAGCT